TTATTTTATAGCTTATCTGTTACAGAAGCTAGCATCAGAATTTTAAAAAAAGGTTTATACAATACTGTTTGGGTTTGTATTCAATTTGCAAATCTTAATTTTTCCAAATATTTCATAAAGTAAAATGTCCCCTTTAAAAACAGTTATGATTTCTTTCAGCTCAAATAATATATTTCCCCACCACTAGCATTTAAAATTAAAGATTCTAAATAGTATCTTAGCATATATGATGAGTACTATAGACAAGTTACACATATATCAACCTTCTTAGACTGAATAATATCATTGAAGAAGCAATGTGGAGGTTGACTAAGACACTTAAGGTGGAAATGCAAAGAAATACTAAATTCAAGCAATGGGAAATTAAGCAACCTAATGAGTGAGGATAAAAGGTCTGTGAGTTTATAGAATTAGGTGCTTCCCAAAGACATTACATTAAATACAATTCAACTCGTAGAGAACTCCCCGGCCCACCCCACCCTTCTTTCAGGTATGAAAGGCTTCGGAGCCAGTCATTAGTCTTTTACTGACTGGAAATCCAGGTGGGTAAGAAATACACCCAGAGGAGTAGCCTACAGATACACAATGAAAAAGAAGGTGGACTTAGAATTGTAAACTAGTGGCTGTTAAACATTGCAACAGTGACTCATTATTTTTTAAAATCTTACATGCGAACCCATACACAAACAAATAAAATGGCGCCGTTCCAGTTGAAGTAGTATTTGGGGTCCTGGAACAGTAGCTGCTTGGACCACAGGACACTGTCGCTCCAGCCCTGTACCCTGCAAAGGTCCTGAGGATATGTATGTCTTTGAAGCTCCCAGAGCTCCTCGGAACACTACTTAAAATGCAGCGGTCAACTGACACAGAGCAAATACTGAGGTACAGTTTATTTCTGTTTAGAAAAGGGAATTTCCATGTAATGTTCAAGATTATGACCAGAATATTGGGGAACTTGTTTTAAAAAATAAAATAGTGAAAAGAATGTTCTCTTTGAAGTAGAATCACTAAATTCTCTGATCTTTGGATACTGATCTTTAGAGTTAAATCACTAGATTGATCTGGTCAAGCACTTGTGCTTCGCAACTAACATTATACTATCTACAATTCATTTCTATTTAAGAATCTTTATTTTTAGAGATATAACTATAAGTAGGAAAAAAGCCACCTACTATAGCAACCTACCCTACTGTTAGAATGACATTAATTTTCCTTCTGATTAATAACTTACTACTCTAGTCTTTAATTGTTTTATTTGAAGGAAAATTTACATGCAGTAAAATGCACAAGTTTTAAGTGTGTTTATTACTTGAAGAATCTTTAATACATATGCACATACATACATATATACATTTATTACACATGCATTTATATTCTCACACACACAAACTCCTCTTAAAGTTTTAATAGTCTTTACATAGCTCTGAATACCAGCATATATTAAAGCATCTCACCTTTTTTTTGAGCAATATTACTTACAAAGGTTGAGAAAAACTTTCACATTAAAAAAAAAAGGAAAGACAAAAAAAAAAAACTCCCCATGGTCAAATACACTTCAGAAACCCTCTAAGTATAGATTAGTTATTTTCTTAGTTTTAGGGATTCTCAGAGCCTTTAATATGCAAATATGTGCATGCTAGGTGTATAGGCAATACCAAGCTATATGTGTGAAATTTATTTTAGTCACAGAATCGCTTTTTCCAGATCATATAAGACCAATGTTCTATTCTTTGCATTATTTTTCATTTATAATTCATTATATCGAAATATTGTTCTTAATATTTCATCAAGTGGATGCA